GACAATGGTGGACAGAGATGGAGATGACGGTGGTGGACGAAACCGAAGACGGTGATAGATGGTGAAAGGAACGGAAACGGTGGTGGATGATGGACAAAGACGGAGACGAACACAGTGATTTTGGACGGCGACGTGGTGGACAAACTTAGAAGCGGTGGTTGTAGATGAAGGCAGTAGTTATCGTCGGAGACAGTGTTAAACAGTGATGAGAACGGAGACGGCGGTGGACAGAAATGGAGACGATGGTGGATGGTGGACAGAGATGGAGACGGACACGACGGTGGTGGACAAACCCGGAGCCGTTGGTTATGGACGAAGGCGGTAGTTATGGTCGGAAACGGTGTTATGGTCGGAGACGGTGGTGGACAAAAATAAAAACAAAGTAAAGTTAATGCAGGGGCATAATTGTCTTTATGTCATCATGAATAGTGTAATTATGGTAGATTTTACAAGGAATTTACAATAATGGTAGATTTCATAAGAAATTTTGTGAGAAATGATAGATTTGATAAAAATTCCTATATATATATAGTCAATTATGACCTCACGAAAAAAAAGTTTATAGTCAACAAAAAAAACCTAATTAGTTACATTTGAACATTTAATTATTAGTGAGATGATATTTATTCTTTTGCACAAGTTAAAAATGTTAAACATTTTTTACATATTTAATTTGAAATAGAGTTTGCAGATTCTAATGGTTGTACTGTGTAACTGAAACTATTGATAAATATAAGATGCAAAAAAATTCTTGAAAAAGAGTTGATAATCCATCGGTTTCATAAAAAAATGATATTCTTTTTTTTTTTGTGAATATAAAAAAGGGTCAATTTGGTTAATAACAAAAAAAAATTAAAACATAATAACTAACCCAAAAACCCTAAAATTAGTGGCTATGATTAATGCCACATAAGAGTTTTTTCTTAGTTATTATGTTTTCATTTTTTTCTTGGTTATAGTTGCCAATTTCCCATATAAAAAATGCTATTCTAGAGTTAGTTTTTATTTAGGACTAATTTGCTTAATAACAACAACAAAAATTATAATTAGAAAACCAACAAAAGTAACATATGTGGCATGTTTATATCCATTAGATGTAGGTTAATTGGTTAGATTTTGAATTATAATTTTTTTGGGGTTATTTAACCCAATTTCTCTTTTATTTATTCTAGAGATAACAAAAATGAAAATAATCACTATTTAATATATTGTATTATTTTGAATATGGTCATATTTGTATAGTTAAAAAATATTAACATAATGTCTCGAACGACATGTTTTATAAAACGGAAGAAGCATGATTCATGGATTTATATTTATAAGTGGATTTGAGAAAATGAAATAAACAATTAAAATCAGATACTTTATACTAAAATGACATTGATCAGTTGTAAAATTTAATTATCTACTTTAAGAATGATTTTAGATTATTATTTTTTGGCTAATATAGAATACGTAAATGTTCTACAATCCAAAATTTTGATACAATTCGAAATTTTCAAAAAATTTAGGGATCCCAAAAATTTATAGGTTTACGGAAGGTCCATATAGTTTTGTTATATTTTGCTAAAAGGTTCATATAGTTTAGGAAGAAATACTATATGATTTAGAAATCTTTTCTCAAGTTTAGGAATATGGGTCTTTTCCGCGCTAGAAACCATGTGAGGACAATAATTGTTGACGACACATTAGTGAAACAAGTCGAAGATAGACGATTAGGTGTTCCCGAATCAAGTCGGACTTCCAATATATATTACGATAACATGATAACTATTCTCTTAATTTAGATAAATCTCTTTCCTTGCCTTTGTCAATTTTGTTCCGAGTTAGCTTCACTGAAGTCGCCGTTGAACAACTTTGAACTGCAAAACTTAAATCAAATAGATAGCCAGAATTGACTAGAACTAACATGTAAAGCAAACGATAGATCTCTATCGAGGGCAAAACCTCAACTAGAAACTTCACCCAAAAAAACTTAATCCAATGAAGGAAATCACAAACCAAACCCAATGAACGAATCACAAACTAGACCCATAAAAACCAGACAGCGAATAACTTTGCATCATTTTCTAACCAAAAACTCTCATGGACATCCTTTGAAACAACCCAACCCTTTTTTTTTAATTAACATTTGACTCGAATTAGTATTTCCATAAATACTAATTCTCAATATCCAATCAGGTACACACAATCAACGAATAACCAACGGAAAACCACATAAACCAACAAACCAACAATTAAACCAGAAAATTACTAAACCAA